ATGATGTTCGCCTGCAGTGCCGTCGCGTCGGACACCAGCTCTCCTGTTGTTCGTCACTCATTTTGGTCGTTTCGTGCGGTACGGAGCTAAAAAGCTAAGTTGTGTTGAGTGGAACCATTATCGTATGCTCCGCTGCAATAGTGGTACCGCTGCATAGGTCGGTCCACACACCCAGACAAAACACACGAATTCCTATGGGGGTGTAGGGGAAAATATGTCACCGATTTTGACCGAGGCGAACTGCACTCATGTCAAGAGAAGGGCTTACACAATCACCCGCTAGGTACGCGGTTCGGTTACATTATCGTGACCACGATGTGGCTTTAACATCGTGTAATCGGTCCACTCCTCATTAGTTGATATGTTGCAGCAATAGGCTATAGATCTAGACTGGTTTTGCTGGGGGTCATTACAGCCTACGCTGATACAATAACGTGGCAGTTGCGAAAGCTAATAGAGAGACGGGCGAAGCTGGGACACCGCTTACCTGCTTCATCCGACATGGTCCCATTGACCGAATCGGACAAGGTTCCCTCTAATGAGAATAACGGTGCACATTGAGATTGCGCATCGCAATCCACTCACAAAATGATTGATACACAATTACGATTCGGACGTCCGATTTTCAAATTGTCACACACCTACACAGGTTGATGCGTATGGGCACTGCACACCAACTAGGCGAATGTCAATGGGGAGAGGGGAGCGTAGTTCAGAACTTCGGTCGCTGCTCACGATCAAGGAAATGATTTACAGTGTAGCCCGCTGCTTACACAATGCCGGTGTATTAGCGTCATTACAATGTATATTCTGAACATCATTCAGCAGTCTTACTGCTCGATTCTTACCAACAAATTGGCGAGTTGCTACCTAGATTGCAACGTGTCCAATTTGTTTTGCAAAATGTGCTATATGTGTTGCAAATTGTCCAAATTGGTTTGCAAAATGTCCAATTGGTTTTGCAAAATGTCCTATGTGGTTTGCAAATTGTCCAATTTAAAGTGAAAATGGTATATTTTACATCTGTTTGCGAGTCTATTCACCTATACTAACTTACCACAGTATCTTTGATTTAAATGCTTGTAGAACCACGGTGTATACGTTACAAAGTTTTCCGTCCAGCACCCTCATATTTTACCGCCCAGACTGTGCGTACGTTTGGTGATTGGGCTTGTCATTCAGCAGTGTCTGGCGTATCTACAACCGGTTTTATCCTTCTTAGTTAGAGAAAAGCGGAGATGGCCCAACTTCGAATTCCCAACCGTCGCTCAGCCGTTGCTCACGCATCGCAGTAGCTGGTGTTTAAAATGGCAACCGTTAACCATTAAATCTCCAATTTCACTCCATTCTCTGACTATCTCTAACTGACGAAACGAAACGTGTACGAAACTGAACATGGAGTGCAATTTTGGGAGCAACGCCAGAACTCCTCCATTCTGTAAGGCAGCATATAATGTAACCATTTCTCACCTATCAGCCACTGATTGCGAGCTTTTGGCATATCAGAGCGGATTCCGTCAGGCGTGTTAATGCTCCTTGTGCACCCAGCCTGACCACCATGAACCATGTGTCAGTTGCCTTCATACACCTAGCTTTACTTATCCGTTGGTCACCTTGCTTTCATTTCAAGACAACTGCAGCTCTCGTATGGTGACGTAGATATGAGCTAGCATGCGAATCACTTGCCCATGCTACAAAAGCATGTGCAATGAAATTCAGGTGATCAGTAGACTGCACAGTCTAACTGACTTGAAAACCTGTCGACCTATTTCATCAGATCTAATGTCATATTGCTATGTTACAAGAACAATTCGCCGAAGGCATCCCTGATCAAAATCAGTAGGATACTGGATATCTTTTGTACGAACGGTCCAAATCCCACAAGCATGTATCTGTACCTCTGCTACCGTAGGCTTGGCCCTTCAGAGGGGCTGTGTTAGCGTGGACGACAGAGATGGTGGAACTAAACTAAAACCAACCCAGGCTTTAAAGATAAGTAAAGAGAAAACACTCGTCAAACCGTTGTCGCTAATGCAACTTCCTGGGTAAATGAAATTGTTTCCAATCATAAAGGATAACCCACATATGTCAGTGCAGAAGCAGCTCCCGGTTAGTCACGCAGCAACATCTTAGCTCTCGATGGGGCGGAGGTCATTCCGAACTAGGAAATAGACGACTCCAACCTATGCTGCACGTTTTGGACGTCCTACCAATAATCGCAAATCACGGCGATATCGTCTGCGTACTTTATAGAGCGAATTTTCCCCCGAAAACAACTCGACGCCTCTAATCTCACTTAGTATGGAGCGCTGTCCAGGATGTTATCCATAGCGAAGTCAACTAGGAATAGCGCTGAGGTGTAGCTGTGTCTCAAGCTACTGGTAATACGGACGGAGGGAGAACAGTAGGACAATGCTTACTGACAGGAGAAAAGTACTTGTTTAATAGAACCAGCAGCTTGGTGAGGGAGAGAACTTTGAAAGCAATAACTATACATGCGAACAACTAAGACAGAAGACTAGTGGTATGGTAGAACCAAAGTTGTTGAAGTGGGATATTATTATACAAGACAGCGTAACAGCTTATGGTAGCTAGCGCCCAAGGTAAAGAACGCTCGGATTACTCGCTCTGGTGTGCCAATTTAGCTGCGTCTGTGTGGATAACTATTTCAAAGGAAATAACGCGTCCTAAAACGTACTGGATAACCCGTTCATGTGACGACGTTTAGAGAGCTGCGTGCGATATTTAGAAGTATTTTGAAGATTGTTAACCTGAGTCAAAAATAACCAAGTTTGGAAGAGCGTTTCAAGATATGCAGACTCGAAGTAATAAGTAAGTTTGACAACATTCTAAATGACTGCATTCCCGAGTTAATCTCAAGCAATCATCTCTCAGATGAGTGTTAGGGCTGTTTCAGCATGCGGCGGCATACATGACTAGGGTTGCTTAGTATTAGATGTGCCAGTATGAGTTCAAAACGTAGCTATTTACAGCGTCCACTGAACACTGAGTTTCATCGGTGATTACTGGTGCAAATATTGACGCAAACGCTTGACACTTTTCTTTGCCTGACGTCTTGGAGTAACCGGCGCTCGGAGGCCACGCTTTAGAAGAGTTTGGACAGCGTGTTAAAAGGGTGCGCAATTAGGCTTCCAGACGAAGACAGGCGAACTGCAAATCCATATGCTCATTTCAAGACATTAACATGCTATTTCCCACTTTTGGAAGCTGACTCATACTGTAGGAAACGACTGTAGTCGTTCTGTACAAGCAAGTCAATGTTGCGCCCCTGAAAATGAGCTTACAGATTGGGTGCTTCAGCCTTGTAGATGCGGGTCTCTAGAGAAGGAATGTAAAACACCCGCACTTGTTCACCTTGAATGGTAGCGTTTTCCGCAACCACAAATTCCAGGCCCCAACATGGTTGTGCTGAAGGATTTATAATCGTCCGATCCCTTGATCACCCGCCAAATGTTAACAACGTTGGCGAAGAGTACCACTAGAACCATGACGACTAGGAAAAGAGGAGACGTAAATACCGAAACTTACGTCATACCACGCACCCGCACTGGGCCCCAGCCTGGAGAACACATGGTTTGTTATATGTTAGCATTCCGCACTGCTCTTCTCAACTGACCATTCCAGCGAGTAGCTCCCTCAACTTAGTCTAACTGGGTGCTTACCTCCAAGAAGGCAGCACCATTGACCTACAGAATGTTTGTCGATAGTCGAGTATCTGTTGAATGGTAAACGGCTTGATCAGTACAACTACAACCTGAGGGAAACCCAGATTGCTCTTCGCACATGTTCTATTCCCAGCTGTATGTTACCCTACTTGTGTGCAAAAAGCACATTTTGGACTTTGAATTTACCTGATTGAGCCTCCTTTAAGGTGGGGCGGTCAGCAGTTTGGATAAACAGCAGGCGAGACTAATCCGTAGATGGTCACCGAAGTCTACGTTGTTGTCCTTTTAAAGACGGGCAAAATATCCACAGCTTCCAGGTTCAATGGACTACTTCCCATTATGAGGGCGAGCAGTGTTTCCATGGGTCACACAGCTTTGGTGCATGGGAAATTCAAAGTAGCTCACGATTACTCTATTCGAATGGGGGTGCACTATGGAACGAAATGTTGATAATGTGGTCCAGTGAACAGGTGGTCTTAGTTATCACCAATCAACCAGACTGCAATTGTGGACATTGCTTGTTTTTAGCGCGTAGAGAAAGTCCACCTCGTTTCCCTAGCAACGCGTGGGGACAGAGGGGACTTACAAGCACGAAAATACCGTTTTGATCCTGCAAAGCACTCCAAATGAATCACAATTCCAGCTTCTCACGTTCTTCATAGTGTTACTCTTGTTGACTACTTGGCAATGCCTTAGATGGCCATACTGTCTTCGCCGTCTCTGGTAATGCAACTTGTACCATTACCAATAGGAAATATTTACACAAACTTGCTTGTTTTTCTCCATAGCAATTCAACCGCGTTCGCTTAAGCACTTTTTAGTATTAAAGGTAGGTAAGCTAAACCTTTACTAGTTCCCTGTAGTTCATTTATTTGCAAAAAAATTAGTATTAGAATTAGTATAAGTCACTGGAGGTTTTCCCACCATAACAAGTATGTACAATGATTATCTGAACGGATGATGTGAATCAATGATGTTTTCGAGGTTATTATTACTCTATTATTCTATTCTATTTCCTTCAACACTACTGTCCCAACTAATTGCCCACTTCCATGGCTTGGTAACTTTAAAATGAAATTAGCCGTTTCGAGTTTGGCCTCTGCACCATCTCATCCCATTAGTCCTTCTGCTGCCAACATGATTTTAGGTCGCCTAAATTACATTAGTCCAACTGTTTCTGATCCTTTGAAAAATGGTGGCTGAGGATGCCGGTTAGTTAAATAACCGCAATTCTTCTACCACACCGATTGTTGTTTTTTCATTTCATTTATCCGGTAATCAGTCATGTTGTTATGCACATTTGTATTTGAATAGGTTTTGGCATGGAAGCGGTGTTTCTTTTGGGTGTTGGATACTCCAAAAACATCACGTCTGCACTTGTGTGCATGGTTCTTGCAGTTGGCTTCAGTGGGTTCGCCATTTCAGGTGAGTTGCATTCAGTTGTCCCATGTACACAAACGCATTTCGCCGTGTTGAGACAAACGTCCCCATCTGTCAGGGTCATCCGCTCAACCACTTTCCACTCTGTGGTCAATTCGGATGCGTCATTTGATGAAATACGTAAATTGTTGTCATTTCTCAATGCACACGCACACCAACAATTTGTAGCACAGCGCTAGCAACAGCGCGCCTGAGAGCCTGTTAGGCTACGGTGTAGAAATAACGTACCTGAGCTTTGAGGTATCGATGACGTGGAATCTGAACTGACCTAGAAGCAAACGATTACTTCACCGTTGACTATTTCATGCTGTTGAAAGGCAAACAGCCACCTTAAAATTGTTTTCATGGACCGGGGTTACGGTGTGAGGTTTCAACTGAATGCTTAATGCGACTAGCAACAAAGGTCGACACTCAGAAGCTTCCGATTACTTTTCGGGCCGTAGTCTAAAGGTAATAATGAGCTCTTCTTGTAATCTGGCGTCGTCGGTTCGCGCCTGAGTAGCGGCAGTATCTTAGCTCACTTGCGACCGGTGGTCGTTGCGTGGCAGAGAAGCGTCAGTACTGCGTACCGGCGTAATGCTGATGTTTGTCCCTGTCTGGTCACTTTGACTGAATTGATCTCCATAAACTCCGTCATAGAAGACATGCATTTTATTAACTGGTGTAATGAATCTATCAGTAAAAATTGTCAACTAGAAAACAAACGTTATTAATATCAACTTCTGGGTTTTCCCCAGTAAGGCTGTAGAAGCTTAGAGGCGTAATTGCAAACCGAAGAAAGAAGTGTATAGCTACTGAAAAGCGTTTGACGATGGGTTTGACAACTTCACCTTTTGACTGTGATCCTGGGTACCCTTCATCTTTGCTGCACTGTTAGTATTCGGCTGGTCAATGATTGTCACTGCATAGCTCAGGAAACAATTGGATTCCTTGGGCGTACTAGTTTGAAAAAGATGAGATAAAACACCAGTTGGTACGAGGACCCAGGATAGTTTGTTACTGTGTTCTCTAGCTTACCAAGTGAATCACAGGTATGCGCATGTCAAGCTAGGCTATTAGTTGCGAGGATGAGTGTGGTATATTGTCCATTACATGCTGCGTCATGCGCAGATGCAATAAATTCGATGAAATCAGAAAAGCCGTGCTCCTACTGTCTAGCTTTCAGGTGCACCGTGAGAAATCATACAACAGCATCCTAAGTACCTTTGTAAGCGATGAATCGGTAAAAGCCAGGCTCGCTCCCGCCCCCAAGAGGCATACAGTGACCACCTGATTATACATCATAGTTGCTGGAACAAAAGCATGAATACAAACAACTGGCCAGGGCGAAGCGTCCTTAGTTATTGTTTTAATAAAGCGCCTTCCTTGGCATCGGGTTGCAATGCTAAGGATTTAGTTCAATATAAGGAAAAGGGGTTTTCTCGGAATCGATCGGGAAAAGTCCAGTACAAAACTCAACCTAGGTACTTAATAAATGCATTGTTGAATGAAATCAATGCTACGATGCTGCTTTCTCACAAAACTTCAGCAACACCGGAACTCTGAACTTCGGATGTGATCCCAGTGATGGAAATTGCAGAGGTTTGTTTTCAAGTAAACCCTGGCCTCAGTTTAGCTTGTGTGTCACAATACATATACCATGCGACTACTCCAGCACTCAACAATAGATCAGTGCTTAATGAATTGCCGAGATTTACCTCAGCCAGCATTAATTGCTCCCATAATCGATGTCCCACGGATACGTTCATGTTTCATTGTATTCTGATGCCCACCTAGTTACTGACGAGTAGTCCAGACATACTACTAATATGATGACAAAACTGGTCAGTCATTTGATACCGGATACCTACAAGAATGCATTTAATGATAAGTGAAGCCATTCAAAGTTGGGCCTGTCCCAAGTGTAACATTTCAGTAGCTATTAATCTGACTGTATTGATGACTACAACCGTTGATGACTACGAACCGTTCCTCTGCACTCGTTTTTTTGCAGGATACAACGTGAATCATTTGGACATCGCTCCTAGATACGCAAGTATACTCATGGGCATCTCCAACGGAATTGGAACAATCTCTGGAATGATATGCCCCCTTACAGCGGAACTGTTGACAAAGATGGGAGTTAGTGAACGTTTTGGTTTAACTGCCATGGTTAAGATATATTCCCGAGGTTTTGTAACTCTTGGTTAAAATTGCCCGGTCACTGCTGAAATTAACATGTTGCATGTTCGTTGTTTGAATTTTACCCACTTGTAAACATCAGCTGACCACATTTCGGCACAGGCTTAGGTCGGTCTATCTTAGATGCTTCTCACTTGCAACTTAATTGCTACTACGTGTAAGCTCAAAAAGTCTAATCAACTGTTGATATATGCAGTATCACCAGTGCAGAGTTACTTCCACAACAACCTGGAGCTTTCTACGTATAATGTATAAAATAGTACCAAATTAGGATTCCATTTGTACTCAGGAACATTCAACGGTGTTCCTCGCATTTCGATCACTTTTATTTATGTATACTCACATCAGGAACGCGAACCGAACGCCACCTCCTTTCGCCCCCAGAACATTCTTTCTTTCCTCACGTTGGCTAGTCTATCGCTGGGTGTCCGTTAGCTTAGTGAACTTGTATGTTTGGCAATAAATGTATATTTCGGATTCGTTTAGCTGGAATTTTACTTTTTTCCAGATCCTTGGTTTGTTCTGTTAATATAGCGCCCGTCCATCGATCGTGCCGTCCTCTATGACAAGGGGATACCTTCATCGCGGATTAACAAAATTAGAACACCGTCATATTTATTCTTCGTTGACTGTTCGGTCCGTTGCTGTACATGAGCAAAAGTTCGTAGTCAATGATTTTGTTCTCACCGAAGAACATACTGTTTCTCACGTTCTTTTACAGCACAAGGAAGGTTGGCAAACGGTCTTTTTGATAGCCAGCTTGGTTCATTTTACCGGAGTAATCTTCTACGGGATTTTTGCATCCGGAGAGAAACAGGCTTGGGCTGAGGCACCAGATGAGGCCAAATCAAACTGGCAACCACCAACAGACTTACCCCCAGAGATCGCTGGTGGCGGCTACGGATACATCGAGGCTGACGAGAGGCAGTATTTGAATAAAAGTGCGACGCCATTAGTGACTGTAACTGCCCAGGATAAATTTGTCAACGGACTGTTGTCGCAGAAGAACGAGACTACAATCAATCAGCACCTTTACACAAATGAAGCTAACAATCACGAATATGAGTACGGTCAGACAGGTGACAATTACCCCTCAAAGGTCGGCGATCCATATCACTACGGCTATTAGCCCAGCAGTCGAGGAGCGGTGTGATCAACAGACACGCTTTCACTGTTTGACTAATAGTAAACCAATTCCTGATTTACGTTGAACTATGCTGTTTCAGTTCCTCGCTAGTTTATACACAAACTTGCTTGTAGTGCAACAGGAACCTACCCCATTAGCTTTCGCCTACTTTATGACAGTCTTACTTTGTTTGTTATCTTTTCCACATTCTTGAGACAAAGCATTGATTATTTTCCCCATAAACAGACAAAGAGGAAAGACAGCAACCGTAAAGGATCCAAACTGCCCCGAATGAACCCCTTCATAGTGGCAATCACTGAGTGGTCTACGTTAATATTTCCGAATCCATCATACAGAGGACGGCATTACAAATTTCCTCATTCTGAATATATGGGAAGTATTTCTGTCATTTTGAAAGCACGCCAGATGACACAAAGCGGCTTGTCTTGCTGTGAACGTTAATGTAAAGCACCAAGATATGTTAAGACAGGCTGCTGTAAAGGACAATAATTGGTAGCCTGTCACGTGTAGATAATTCATAACGGAACATCATTCAGTGGGTGCCCACCGCCTACTTGCCGGATTTCAGACATTTAACCAAGCAGCGTAACTGCAGCGCAAAACAGCGCAAACATAGTAATGTTTGCTGGCGTAGGGCTTATGCTGCAGTAGGTAGCGGTCATCGAAAGGGGCAGACACAGGGACGAATAAGAAGTGAATAATTCGACCAGGAACAACCTGTGCGTAAACATGTGTAAAATAGCATAAAATTCAAAGTTTTGATTTCAGCTAGTGGTGGTTATAAACAAGAGACGACCCGTCATAATTTACAAACATTGCTAATCACGTTATGGTCACACGCCTTCGGATGCTCAGACTGCGGTTCCACAAAGCAAATCGATGCAAAGACACGATTATTTTGTACAAAACTGTTGTCCAAGACATGAAAGACGACACCGAGAAGTCTTTCTAGCAAATGGTACGGAAAGTCGTAGCATGCGATGCGGTCACGGGACACAAACCAACTGATGCGACAACCAAAGGTGTTGCATGGTTTCAAGAACAGGAGACAACATGCAGTTCAAAAATCCCGCAACATTCGTCCAAGCGTACACTGAAGCAATAACTTTGGCTAGAGTTTTACACAATGGACTTAGGTAAACCGGGGAAATCTCCAGTCTGTTACATAAACATCAGCAGAAAGGACTGGTTAGACAGACCTTTGATCTATTTGAAGATTATCCGTCATTACCCAGTCCTTTGTGGGACCAAACCATGACACCGACCCAATGGGCTTTGTAGTGGTGTGAACTGCTGCCGATGTAGTTACTACGGCGCGCTAATGTGAACGGGTTCCAATATCTTTCCTACGAGAGCAAAGGGAAAACCTTCGTAAGAGAACAGTTCACTGTAGTTTGAGCAGCTAGCTGAGCGAGGAGTTTGTTGTGCATCTAGGTGCGTGGATCCAGAGAAAGGTGCAACCGGGAAATGGGATGCACGTGGAAAACAAAGCCGTAAAAGATCACAATACAACCTGCTAGGGGGACCACTTGTCTATGGGGAACAGATAAAAAGATCCCCAACGTTTTTCCTAAATTTTCTCAGCGCTCTTAACCTATTATTCTCGTCCACCTGTCTTACGCAAACGCGACTACGTTTTGGTGGTCCCCAGGCGTTCTAACATCTGTAAAAGGTGACCATCAATAACACGACTGGTTGAGATTTCCTCTTGATGTGTCATCCAAGCCTGCCGCCATGTCGCACAGATGGCTTAGATTTCGTCTCCTAGTATCATCATTGGCCGCGCGCACTGCTTATGTTGTATGGGTAGCAAGACACTAGCAGCGCAGCAGCAAATTAATTGTCCACGCGTTTACACGTGTGCCATCAATGAGACTGTGATTTGTCGAGAAAAGTACATGCTATTGATAATTCCCAGATATTAGAGCTAAACAGTGCGCTACTGTCTATTCATGCGAGTACTCAGTCTGTATTAATTACAGAAGAAACTACAACATGCTCCGTCCATCAGCCAGCTCCTGAAATTTTAAAAACATCAACAGGAATAACCACCGGCAATTTGTAAGAATAATAAAAAGGCATGGCTTAAAAGCTTTGTGAGATAGATACAACCACGAAAGTGCAACATCATTTGTTTGTTTACAGTGACAATTGTCATTCAAAAATCCAACTAAATAACGTCAAACTGCGGTTCCTGCTATTAACATCACTGCGTTAGTTCAACCCTTCGACCGGTGTCATTCAGGCACTTAACAAAGTTCCGGAAAAATTATCTTCTACATCTTATTACGATCATGGAATCACACAAAGATATGTATGGAAATGGACTCATGAAAGGACTAAATTTATTGGAAGTCGCGTTCTAGATCGCTGCCGCACGGAAAAAGGTGGATAACACAGAAATCTATAAGTGCTTTTGTAGAACGGGGTTTCCTTGTTCTGTAGACAGATTCTGAGATAGTAATACAAACTGGACAAGAGGTTGACGATGCAAATTGTACCTCCTGTAACCTCTATTGCAATGGATAATCTTTCAAAGGAATTATTTAGATGCCAACTGACTGACAGCTCTAAGGTTGATTCCAATCTCCAATGTTGTAACACAACCGAAATAATCTGGGACATTCCTGCCACCATAATTTTAGTAGCCGAGGATGTGCATAGTGAATCAAACAATCAGCAGGAACAATATTATACAAATGTTTTCGCAACCTATACATTCACAGACGCTTAGTGGCGAGGTTGATAGTTTGCGTTCTTACATACTAATATCGGACGCACTGGTATGCTTGAATTTATAACGAATGTGATGGCAACATTAAACATTTGTTTTATTTCGACTGCTAAGCAACAGACTTCTATACTAGACTTTTTCATCTGGTGGAAAATGATACGGACAATGGAAAGCGCGCGTATGCTTTTTCAAATACTTATGTATTACGCTGATTCGCAAGTTCGTTGTTAGAATGTTTATTCCTACACTCTAACTTCAGTAGACAATTTTGTTGTTCATATGTTTAATAGTAGAGTATATTACTAGTATTACTTGAATTAAAAGTTTAAAGTTTACTATAGTTGTTTTTGCATACATTAGATATATACATCGTACTTGAAAGCGTATGATACCCATGTTGGGTAGTGTCCCTTATGCTCAAACCTATCCAGGGGAACCACCTTTTGTCGGTTCCTTGATTGCTCGCCTTAAACAGGTTTGACTGCATTAAATACACAGCTACATCCCCAAAATGGTATACTGAGAGAAAAATAGGATATATTTCTGAGTTGCCCAAAGTTTTTTGCTAGTTGCAAAACATGGTTATCTTTTCGAATTTTGAAAAAGCAATTGTAAAGCAATGAATGAAGGATACATGTAACGTCGGTTGCCAACGAGTCGGGCAGGAGTGAGATTACTTGTAGTTATAGGTTCTGCCGGACTAATGTGACTGGCTTGAGGTTATGAAACTGGCCTGGATAGTGTAGGCTGAGAAGGTACCTGTTGCACTGGAGAGTCAGATTCATAGATAAAGGGGGGCTTGAGTTAACCAATATTGGTCGTCTATGTTTAGATATGGTAATCACTGGTAAATATCTTGTCGGTTCAAAGTACGATACTGTACGAGGCAGAATAATGAGGATTGAGGTGCCGCCGTACGCCGTCGGTGCGAACAAACAGGAAATAGCTATTGGTAAGGTCTTCGTCCACATTAATATGTAGACTCTGTTCCCTGGCAGCACTGGTTAAAACTGTCGCATGTGATGGGAGAAGCGAGCTGCGCAATCGTAATAGAAGTAAGTCATTGTGGTTGTTGGTTAGATCAATTCACAAGGTAAGGGTAATGCTCAATCAAAAAGTATCGAGGAAGGAGTCGCATGCCAGATTATTGATCATGTTCCTTAAGCTTAAACTAACTTACAGAAGTGATTCCTTCAGGGATGTGCAAGATTGAGCACAAACTGATGTTTTGACTTACTGGTGGAAGCATTTTATTGTCCTGTTAGCTGCTGGGTAGTACGCAGGGGCACAGTTGCGCTGGCAGCCATGTACGCCAGGCGTTTTTCTTAACAATTCCTCAAAGTTTAAAACTCGGTTAGTAATGAATAAACAGGGAATTCAACTTGAGCTACCCAGTGCACTATAGAAGCGTGTGCAACGATCTCAGATGAGCAGTCGACAATCAAGATAGCTTCTGGTCAACGTGCAAATCTGTCGACACAGGTGAAGTGATGTACGTTGCCATTGCATGATGTTAAAGCTGAGGTTAACTTGATGTTGAATTCTTCGAAGCGATTGTCTGGGGCAGGCAATACGCCTAGCGGCCTTTCAATGTCCATATACATTCTGGTGCGCTAACATTCTAAGCATATGCAAGCTCCAAATACAGAGATCGCGGTTGACGTTAGACCCAACAGAGCGCTCATTTATGAGCTTCTGAAAAGTTTGCATGCAGGAATGAGACAGAATGTGCAACACATTAAATACTAGTCGGCGCATTGCTAAATGTATTGAAGGGGCTAAGAGGTTAGTGATATATCGCAAAGTATACTTTCTCAGACAATAATAAGTACTTTGCGTTGCCTTCATACATTGTTGTTTTGAAGCTTATCTATGTTTGGATCAGTTTGCTGGGTTGCAGCCATAGCGGTCAGATCGATGTTGGCTCCGTGTGCTAAGCTGCTCTGGTTGCTGCCTGTAACAGCATACACGGCAGGGTTGAGAGCTCTTGAATAATGTCGCACGTCGGTCATAAATTGTGGGACATAATTCTGCTGACTACTTCCTCGTAGGAAATACTGTTCTGTTTCTCCACTGATTGCGTAAAGCAATGGCTTGCGATCTCTGTAGACTTTGGTATATCGACGTTCGTGGCAGTGGTAGAAATGAACAAGGAACTGTGAATAATGTTACATCAAGGACAAAAATACAGTTTCTTGACAAAGTCAGTGGAATGACAGGGGTATTATTACCATACCAAAAATTATGTGTTATCTGTTTACTCGTCTGTCGAGAAGATGCGCAGCTGAATAACAGTGCTGTACGATGAGGATTGGATGTAAAAAACGAAACAACATGGGGACAGTCATAGCTGAGGTACTCCGTGCGAAAACTAAAGAGAAGAATACACAAGAACTTACTGCATCCTTAGGTTTATATGATACATAACTATAATTGGACTGCATGGTTAATATGTTCCAAAGTAGCACAGCTTAGGCAACTAACTCGCGGGGGATAATGGCAACATCCAAACCTTTGTTAAAATGTTCAGGGTAGGAGAGGAAGGAGCTGAGTTTGGGAGAGAGC